TTTTCAACTTTTCACTCATGCAGGCCCTCAGTATCTTGCAAGCATTATGCCATTGTAACTGGTCTACGGAGTGCATACTTCAATAGACGCTACCCGCATGGTTTATCAATATTATCAACAGTGCTGGATTTCATAAATTCGAAACCAAACCACAGGACCATCATGTACCCACCATGAGGCTCCAGACTCTAAGTTCTCATCACCGGGCCACAACCTACACGTTGATACTTACTCTCGTGGCACTGCCTGATGGTGTCCCAATAATGTCAAGGGAAATACTGTCCTCATGGGTGCACTCACCCAACTCCGACACTATTCAAACAACTGACAGCATGAATGGTGTTGACCAATATCATACTGGGTTATGCTGGCATGGTATTGCTATAGTCCAAGCTAGGGGGTCGCCCGCAGATAGCAACAACATGTTCCAAAGGAAATTCTATAATTTGTTTGGAGGGAATTCAAGTTCTGTGTACTGGATCCTGACGCACACATCAAGCTACAGCCTTTACCATTATTATTGACTGGAATCGCTGCGTTTCATGACCAAAGAAGCCATTGAAGACTGTAGTGGTCTTCGGCAGCAATGGTTTCTTGTGAAATGGCAGGACAGTGAGTTGACACCCGGGCCGTGGGACAGTTGATTATTGGCACCCTCCCTCAGTGATCATCGCCCACCCCCTTCTTTCATCCACACCTCTTACCCTCTCGCTTACTTGGTTTCTTCTTGGATGACATTCTGCAATCCCTCAGTGCCAAGTCTAAGACGGTGATAACGCCCTATGCGTGAAAGAGACCCGTGCAACTGATGCGACTCGCAACTCGACGAGACAGGTAACAACTCTTGTAGTTCAGAAACGAGTCCCTTGTGTCAAGTTTGCAGTAAGCTGGTCGCTTCAGTAACGAGCCGTGCCTAACCGAATTGTTATTCTCCAAAGGCGGAGTACCGCTAAGCTATGTCGTATTGAACTGAGACGGAAATATTCGTCTGATTACGCTACGCTTCCAGACAAATATTCTCAGACCAAGGCTCTATTTGTAACGGTCATCTCAGCAACCACAGAAGCAACAGTGCAACGACATGCAAGAAGTCCTTTTGCGAACTTCTCGCTTCTCCGTGACGCCCGGAGCCGAGTCGCCGTCGGGCAGATTGCCTGTGGCATGCGCATGCGCATGAACAGGGCTATTGAGCCCTAGTACTAGCGCCCTGTCCGCTGAACTGGAGAGTGGAGGCTGTGGAGTGTGGTCTGTGGAGCTCTGGCCGTCTGGGTCCGAGTCTGAGAGTGAGACTGAGCTCATGACATGAGGCCTAGCGCATGACACGACACTCGGCCGCGCAGTACAATCATGTACCAGTAGATGTTGCTGTTGTTGTTGTTGTTGTTGTTGTTGTTGTTGTTGTTGTTGTTGTTGTTGTTGTCGCTGCTGTTGTTTTTGTTGCTGCTGTTGTTGTTTGTTTGTTTGTATTTATTTGAATTCGCAACTTCAAACGGGCAAGAACCCAATAACATGAAAGTGAATGTGATGATGGCTACGGCCATAGGGAGAATAAGGAAAACATTATTACCGTAATGTCTAACGAGGAGGAGAATGAGAATTTGAAACGTTTCAGCGTAGAGTAGGCCTTGACGGATTATGCTAATATTTTCGTGAAATTATGCTTTTCGCGTTGCTCAAAAAATTGCAGAATTATGCTATTTTTATGCTAAAAGTTATCATATTATGCCGCATTGTGCTCACATATGCTGCTAATGTATATGATGGTTCTGTGCAAAATAACAGGGGAATTTGTTTGTAGAGGGCGTTGTACTGTAGTAGCAAAAGTTCAACGGGGTCAACGCACCGTCCGACCTAGCTACGGCCGTCACCAGGTCACTGATTGTAGTGGACTGGACATGTTATCAAGGGAGTCGTAAACCTACGACTTCCTGGTGCATCTACTTGTACTTGTACTTGTAGAACATGCACAACTGCATGGAATTATTTGATGCGAACAGGCGGATTATTCCAATTTATACGATTCGTATGCAATTTGCCTCGAATTATGCGATTATTCAATTTTGGTAGGAATTATGCGAAAAATTATGCTAGCATAATCCGTCAAGGCTTAGCACCGGCGGATAATGCTAGCATAATAACTAGCATAATGAACCATGTGGGAAAGACCGGCACTGCCCTAGCATCATGAAAGCCTCCAAATGTGACCTTGTCTAGCACAATCGATGTGTGAAACTAGCACTACGTCCAGATGAAAGTGTATGCTGGATGGCCACCGTTGCCAGAAGCGTGTTTGGCACTGTTTACTGCGTTTACGGAGTTGTTCAAACTGCACTGACTTGTACTTGGAGCTAAATATAGCATTGTGCACACGTTTTGCAAATTTGATTTCCAAACTTGCAATGCTTGTCTTGAAGTTCAATGTCAATGATACGGCGAGTCTTTTCCAAGTAAGAACGGTAGTTTGTAATTATTTTGGCCTTCACCTTTAGCATGTTGAGTC